ACCCTGGCTAGCCAGCCCAATAAACTCTGCTTTGTTGATTGCATTCTCGCCTGGCTCTCTGTCTCTCGGGGGAATAGGATTCTGGGTCCTAACACTGTGAAGATCAAACTGCTCCCCACTAGCACCGACCATGTTCTCTCTCTCTCTCTCTCTCTCTCTGGATCCATGACTGTCATTCCCTCATTGGATGTTTGATCAGGGCCCCTTCAAGCCAGCATGGTTTTTTGCTGTGGCCACTACCGGTCTTTGCACATTTCCTTCCTTTCTTTCTGTGGCTGGAGATGGAGCCTGGGGCACCACCAAGCCACACCCCAGCTCCTCCTAACTTTCTGGAACAAAAAAATATCCTAGGCTTACTTCTTTTCTTTCCCCAGACTTAAAAGCAGCCTTTACTCCCAGGAGCCCTGCCTCCTTTTAGCTCTGTCTTCCTACCCAACTAATCTTGTGATCTTGGTTATGTTTTATAAGTTTCCCCAGGCCTCAGTTTCCCCAACAATAAAATGGAGTGGATCCCACTCACCTAGCCCCAGGGGTGGCTAAGAAGATAATACAAAGAGTTCAGGACGGTTCTTGGCATAAGACAAAAGCCTGATAAACGCCTACTCTCCTTTTCCTGTCTCTTTCTGCTTGGAGCCAGGATCTGCATCTCATTCGTCCTTGAACCAGCAGAGCTTCACACGGGTGCTTGGTTAAGAGTCCACCACCTAACAAAGGCTTCCTGGAAGCCTGGCTCTCAAACAAGAAAGATGCACAGAGAAGTCTATGTATTAGAGACATAAAAATGGACACCCTTTTTTGGGGAAGGGGATTATGTTACTGCTACCAGGGTTCTGTGTTTTAAGTTTGGAGCCAAATCAGAAAGAGACCCAGAAGCCAGCAGAAGATGAAAATATCCTCACTGTTACCTATAACAATATGTGGAGACTGGCTAGCCAGCGTGCCAAGATTTTGGTTTTCTTTTTTTAAAATAAAATTATTTTTTCCTGATTATAAAAATAATATGTGATTAAAAATCATATAGAAGGCCCAACCCCTCATAGTCCCATTATCCAGAAAGAACTGCTACTGCACAGACTAGAGCTCACCCTAGTCCTTACTATGTCTCTTTTTTCAAACATGGCTGAGATACAATTGGAAAAATATTTTGAATGGTCCCAGAATTAATACAGAGATAAAGGATTACATAGGTTTAGGTTCTCATTGCAAACTCTGTAAAACCGAGCTCCAGAAGAACAGAGGAGAGGCAAAATGTTCCTAGAAATCTTGATGTTCTTTTTACATGCCATAATTGAGAATGTCCCTCTTTGAGGCTGTATAATATTCCATTCAATTCACATGCCACAATTTACTTAACCATTGTTTTTTTTTTTTTGGTGAATATATTGCTTCTTTTTTCCTTTTTTCTTTTATTCTTAAAAAATGATACAATCAATGTCATCATTCTCATGGCTTTGGGTACATTCTGGGTCCTTCTTTCAGACAAGTTCCTACAAGTGGAGTCACTTTTGAGCAAAAGTTACAAAGTTTTCCAGGCTTCTGAAACATACCAACCATAGCTTGCTTTGCAAAGTGCCTGCATGGACTTATAGTCCCCAGCAGCATTTGAGATGCAGGGACAGGCTTGAACTTACCCTTCTGTGGTTTATATATAGTAAGAATAATTATGAAAGCGAGCTTTGTGGTTTCTTCTTTGATAGCTAGTGAGATTTGACACATGGCTTAACAAGCAAATAATAAAAACAGGACAAGTTCCCACTCGCTGTCTGTTCAGGCCATCACAATGGTCTCTGTGGCTGATGGGAATCCGAGCAACTTACCCGCAGGCAATGGCACATCCAGATGGGGCGTACGCACATGCCATCACCCACGTGCAGGGCATGGTGACCGCGTGCTCCTGTAACACAGCAGTCCTAGGGTGAGCGACAGGCACCGGCCCCCAGGCCTCCACGTGAGCATCACCAAATCAGAGCGCCCGTTCCTACTGAGTGACCGATCCCATGGCTCCAGGGGGAAGCGGCGAGGGATAAAGGTGACTGGAGAATGACGAGGGGTTCAGCCTTTATTTTGCGGTAAGAGCCTAAATTTTGATCTAATTCGAGGTGTGCATGTGCAGAGCTGAGTCACAAGGGGCTCAGACCCCACAGTGTCACGGGGCGCTCTGAAAATACCACCGCGGCCTCCTTCTCCCCCCACCCCTTGCTAATCTCCGCAGTGCTGTGGGGTCTGAGGGGGAGAGATGGCGGGGCTTTGGGGCTTATCTTCACTCACATACTGCATGCATGAACAGGACAGCTTCCATGCAGTGCCCACACTATCTTAGCATGGCGCCCTTGACCGTGGCTCTATGGACTCTTTCCAGGGCTAGTGACTGCATCTCCAGACAGGAATAAATGCTGCTCTGGACTGGCCCAGCTACTCAAACATGGCTGCCTTCCTTAGGGTTCCCACACCTGGAGGTTGGGTGGACCCTTCACGGGGGGCCTGCAGGGGATCAGGATGGGGCACCTCTAAGCCAGGCTGGGGCCGTGAAGTCCGCTGTGGGGCGGCCTGGCACCTACCTTGTTGGTGGTGAAGGAGTCCCACACAATCACCTTTCCATCCTGGAGGGAGAAGAGGACACAGCTCAGAAGCTGGCAGTGCGCTCTTACCACTAGCTGCTTAAGTCCTCATAGGGCTGTGCCCAGCTGGGCAGTGTGCAGCAGAGGGCCAGCGAGGTGCCTGGGTGGTCCAGACCCCCCACCTGACCATGAGGGAAGGTGAGTAAGCTAAAGGTTCAGTGCTCAGTGGAACTGGGTCCAAACTCAGGGCCTCCAGACTGCCAGGCAGGCGCTCTACCACTTGAGCCACACCCCCAGCCCTTTCTGCTTTAGCTAGTTTTCAGGTTAGGGTCTCGCGTCTTTGCCTGGGGCCAGCCTCACACTGAGCTCCTCCGACCTACGCCTTTATAGCTGGGATCACAGGCCTGCGCCCACACACCTAGCGTACTGACTGAGATGAGATCTCCCTAACTTTTTTCCCAGGCTGGCTTTGAACCGTGATCCTCCAGATCTCTGCCTCCTGAGTAGCTGGGATTATAGATGTGAGCCACTGTGCCTGATCTAGACACTTTTTTATACCACTGACCAATCAAGCTTGAATTGTTTCATACAATCACCATCCTCTACACTCTAAATATCAATGTATTATTCAGGAGCAGAAAAATGCTGACACTACCTTAGGTACCTGACAGGTGAATAAGAAGTCTCTTTCTCCTACACTGTGCCAATACCTCCCCATCTCCCATTTGCCCCTGCAGCACACAGACTCTCCCCCATTCTCTATCCACTTTTGTGCTATGGACAGTTGAGGTCAGGCTCAGTCACTTCTCCAGGTGCCCACAGACATCAAAATCCCCTCTACAGACTTGTCACTCCAGGCTGAGAACGACATGAAACATGCGCCTGTGACAGTGGGGATCCCTGTGGCCAGTTGTTCAGGGAAGAAGAACACTCCCTGTTGGGTGAGCACTGGGCTGGCGATGCTACAGACAACACTGCCATTTTCACTGTCACCATGGCCACCTGCGTGGTGTGGGGTATGACTACAGCATCACCCATTTGTAGCACAAACTGTGTGGAGGAAAATCCACAAGCCTGATCCCTAAAGCAGCCGGAACAGGGTGCTCCCTGGGCAAAGAGCGGAAGAGGATGGACAAACTGACTTCCTTCAGTGCGTGGGTCCCCTGTGTCCTCAGGGGTGGTAAATCTGCAGCCCATCCAGTGAGGGCCATTTTTAAATCACTCACTTGAGCCATTTGGAGCCAAAGTTGGTGAATGAGGTAGGGAGGTCACGCTGGAAAACACCACCGAGGGCAGAAGCAAGGTCTGACTTTAAAGTGACACTGCTGTCAAAGTTGGTGGCTTGGGGCCTTTCAAGATTCCTAAGCCGACTGGATCCTCTGGTCTAATTTCTGACTAAGTGGCCCAACATAAATGTGGGCTGTGTAGGTGTCTTTCCTGCAGACACAGGGCCTGGCTCTGAGTCTGCACCTTGGGGACCCAGGCCTACAGCCTGCTCACCGGATGTGGCACTGACTCAGGGTGCTGCCCACCTCAGCGGCCTCCCTGTCTCTGCGTCCGCCTGTCCCCAGTGCCCACCCCTGGAGTGAGTCACATTAAGCTAAATGTGGTCCTTTTCACAAGCACGGATTTATCTGCCCAGCACCTACACACCTGGAGAGACTGTGCCTCTACCCCCAACCCCAATCCCACTGTCAGGGTGACCAGATTTTTTAAAATGTATTCGTTAACTCTGCCTTTTAAGGGAGAAGGTGGCCATGAGTCAAAGTCTGTTTCAGAGTCTCCGTGTTTCCCAGCCCCTCCCCCTCCATGCCCTTCTTCCCACCTTTCTGGATGGAGCACAGGAGGATGGGTGGGGGGTGCTCAGAAGCACAGTGTGGTCTCCTTCCCCCCCCCCCGACACATTTAGTGTGCTTGTAAGGATTTAAAAGTCAAAAGAGCTGGGTGGCAACGTGTACATTACTTTGTAAAAACGAGCATTTGAAAGAAAAGCTCTATAACAATAATAATAAGCCAGGCATGGTGGTATGCACCTGTAATCCCAGCCCTCGGGAGGCTGAGGTAGAAGGATCGAAAGTTTGAGGCCAGCCTGAGCTATGGAGGGAGAACTTGTCTCAAAAAAAACAAACAAAAAGACAGTGGGTGTAAAAACTTCCGGTATTGTTTGATGTTTCCTTAATATCCCTAAATGAAAAGTTTAGTACGGACAGAAAGTAAGAAGCGAGCACGATGCACTGTGGACACAGTGAATTTGTAGGTAACACAGGAGATTGTGACAACTGTGTCACCCAATGTCATGCTGTAGTTTCTCTAGAACTTGCAGTTCTCTGAGGGTTAAGAAGAGATGGGGAAGGCAGAATAAGAGAGGAGAGAGTGGGTGAATTTGGTAAATTATATTACGTGCATGCGTGCAAATCTTACAATGAAACCCCTTTGTACCCCTGTAATATGTGCTAATTAAAGAATAAGTTTTAAAAAAACAGAAAAAAGAAAAATCAAATCATCTTTTTGAAATAGCTGGGCAGACGGTGTGTATGAGGGGAGACCTACGCTCATTATAAAAATCTGGTAGCTCTCTTCGGGGGATGGACCAGTACTGGGGTTTGAACCCAACCTTAAATTTGATCTTTATAAAGAGTTGATAAACTCTCAAATTGGAAGACAGCCAAATAAGTTTTTTTTTTTTTTGTGGGAATGAGACTTGAACTCAGGGCTTTGAGATGACAAGGGGCTGGGAGAGCGCAGCTTTCCCCCTTGGCTGTAACACAAGCTGCCTGGGCCACAGTGGGTGTCACATACCTGCGAGGAGCTCACGATCCTCCGCTTATCTTTGCACCAGTCCATGCAGAGGACCTTGTTGCCGTGGCCTTTGAGTGTCCTTCTGGTCTTCATGACAAACTGGCCCAGGGCCTCCACCCGCTCCGCCACCTGGTGCACTGGAAGGATAAGGCCACAGTCAATTGCCTGACCTAGGCCCAGACCCAGGAGGCAGCAGGCAGGTGGCCCCGGTCCACTGTCAGTAGAGGCAGAGAGCACACAGCAGCTTTCTTTGTGAAGACCCGTGCTTTCCAAGTCCTGCGTGCATGGAGGAATTAACAAGACTGCCTCTCACGCTACAGAATTCTCCCAGCAAGGCCACGGCTCTAAGAGGTGGCAGGGCAGGCAGTGCACCGCCCTCCCCGCTTAATAGGTGAGGAGACAGGCTTGCAGAGGTTACTTTGCTAACGCAGGTTCACACAACTCCCTGGGAGCCAGGCTGGGGTTTTTCTGGCCCTTTGCCTACTCCTTTCTACTCACAAGGAAAGGCAACTTTATAAGAAGTCATTAGGGCCACCCTGTGCACCCTGCTGCTTGACATCAGGCACTCTAACTGTCCCCGTACCTTCACAGCCTGGAATATAGCAAGTGCTTCAGAAAGGATGAATGAATAAATCACTGTGCAAGCTGTCAGCAGATGGCACACCTGTTTCTGGTGTAGTGACGTCCACCGAGATCAGTGCAGTGTCCTCGAAGCCTGGACACAGGGTCTACCCATGGTACTGCCTGTACCAGGACAGAGCTCCAGTACCAATCTCTTAGGGGCTGGGACCCTCTCCTGAGGCCAAGGGAGAATTTCCTAGGGAGTTCTTGAAGAAGCTGACTGATGAGTCAAAGAAAGACAAGTGCACAGGAAGTAGTGCAAGGGTTCTTCGTCACACAGTAGTGAGGAAACAGGTCCACCAGAACCAGGGGCTCCCCTCCATGGTCAGTGGCAGAGGGGACGCCATTCTCTCTCTAGCAATAGCTGTGCCAGAGAACAGGTGTGGACTCCTCCCATCCACCTCTCCATCCTCTGAACCTCTCAGCCAGGTCGTTCTGCAGGCAGGGGAAGAGAGAAAGGACATACCTAGATGTGGGGATGGCCAGGGAAGTGGCACCTTAACAGACAGCACAGCGAGGAAGGGAGAGGCCAGGGGCAACCCTCCTTCCAGGGAGCCGTGGCTAATAGGGGATGGCTCCTCCTTCCTGCAGCTGGAAGCTGGGCTGAGAGGGCCCAGCTTTGAGGTTTAACCTTTGAGGTTAAAGCCACATGGCAACAGTGCCCCTTCCTTCCTTCCTTTGCTTCCTTCTCCCTCAACACTTCAGTTTCCAAAACAAAGAACTCTCTTAAATAACTACAGAATAATGACCAAAACCAGAAAGTGAATGCTGCAACAGTACACCACTGTCTAACCTAAGGCCTTATGAGGTTGTCCCAAACACATGCTTTGCAAAAAAGCACAATCCAGGTCATGTGCAGTCAGCTGTGACTCTTCAGCCCCAAGGTGTCCTGCTTTGCAATTCTGCCTTGTCTGATGCTCTAGGTGAGGTCTGGCTAAGGCACATCTGGCAGGAATTCCACAGGGTGACAGGGTTACGCTGAGCTCTTAGAGGCTCGTGCTGCCTATCTGTCCCATTACAGGTGACGGTGACTTTGATTATTTTTATAGTGGCACCTGCCTGGTTTTCTCCACTGTAGAGTTCCTTTTTACCTTCTGTAGAGAAAAAGTATCTTTTTTTTGTTTTTTTCTGGCAATACTGGGTTTGAACTCAGAGCCTACTGCTAATGGGCAGGCGTTCTATCACTTAAGCTACTCCCACCCCCCCATCCTTTTTTTTTAGGTAGGGTCTTGCATTTTTGCCTGAGACTGACCTAAGACTGCAATTCTCCTACTTCTTTCTCCCAGGCAGCTGGGGTTAGAGGTGCATGTCACTATGCCTGGCTTATTTGGTGAGATGGTCACTTGCTAACTTTTTCCCCCAGGTTGGCCTTGAATTTAGATCCTTCTGATCTCTGCCTCCAAAGTAGTTGGGATTACAGGCTGGAGACAATGTGCCTAAAAAGTATCTTGTGGGACATACTTAGACATTAAGTATCAAGCTGCTCCTCCAACTTTAATTTCCTGATTGGCTCATCACCTAATGGGCCCTGCCTGAACCAGTAGTTGCGTGCTGGTTGACCAGGGTTGATTTTTCTAAGCCCACCATTCCTTCTGTGCTTCTTACCTGCTTTCTACTCTAAGGAGGTGCTTTTCCTCCTCTCTATTTGTTTATTGAGTCATCTACATTAGTTTGGGCTCATGGGTTCTTACCATATGTAGGTTCTATCCCATTACTAAGATTATTTACTTTGATGCTCGAATGGTCCTCATGGCCGAGGGAGCCACCTCACGCAGGCTTTTGTGCCTGCCACATCCCATTATTCTTTGAGCACTTCCTGTTCCAGGCTCCTGCTGTTCTTTCCCTGTCCCCACCCAGGAGTCAGTTGGTTGTCCAAGAACTCTTGGTTCCACTTCTTTGTGATGAAAGAACAAAGGTGCACAAATAGCCTTTGTGTAAACTCCAACCGTGAAATCACTTGCTGCACCATAAAGTGCCACATCAGCCTTCAATTATGCTAGTGCTTCTGCTGAAACACTGCCACAAACAGCACACTGAAAGAAATTGAAAACCAGAAATTTCTGACTTCTTCTAGGTGTTTTTCATAAGCCTTTATCAGTTCAGAATTGTGAGCACATTCTAGTTAATATTTGACTTTGAAGTTTATGCTGCCTCTCCCAATTCTGCTGTAGGAATAATCATAGCTTTTTAATGTCCATCTTAAAAAAAAATGATGTCTCACCAACTAAAATAGGGCCCTTCTTATATAACGTGAAATTGAACAAATCCCAACTATTTAATTAGTTTCTCTTGCTGCATTTTCCCTTCCCACATAGTTTGTCTCCCAACCCACTGCATCCTGTTTCTATCTGCCAAATCTTCCAACCACTGAATTAAAGAATTTGAAAAAATTTAAAGGTCAGGAAGTAAAAGAAAAATCTAAAAATGAGCTGATAAGTCCTGCATGTTATTTATAGGAGCTTGGCTCTCAGACATGTCTCCCCTTTGCCATCTGGTTGACCATCCATCCTTCTTGGATACAACTTTGTTTAAAGGAGTCCTGATCACCACCAGCTGGCTTCTGTGATAAGGACGGCAGTCTGCCAGGCAAAGCCATTGGAAGGTAAGCGTCAGGAGGACAGTTGTCTCATTTGGGCTCCCTTAGAACCGTAGCTGGAGCAGGGCAGCTATGATCCCAGCTCTGATTCTGGCTGCTCAGGTGCAAGCCCAGGTCTTCCAATTACCAGCTGTGCCACTTGAAGCAAGTCACTTCCTTTCTCACTGTCTTGTGTCCCTCATGGGGTTGCTGACGTGACTATACAAGCCTGGCACAGAGGGAAGTGTTAGCACTGAATTCTCCAGCTTGGGCCTGAGGAAATATTTAACTGGTGCATCAATGAGAACGAATGAAATGCTCAACATTTATAAAATTGTAATCCTAAGCAGGATTGGTGAGCCAATAAAGCTTTCAAGCTCCTTTCTCTTCTTAGTCTGTACCTCTCCTTCCCTGCCTTCAGCTACCCTCCCTCCTTAAACTGTCAAGCAACTCATCATTGATCAGGGCCAACCCACGGCTGCTGTTAGGCCTAGACCCTGAGCTACAACAGGAACTCTCACCCAGCCTTTGTGACTCAGAATAGGGCCTTCCTGTCAGCCCTGTGCAGCCCCTGGGATAATTTGGCCTTGGCTTTTGCTCTCCACAAAACCCAACGCCATCTACAGACAGCTGGAGCTCTTTCCTGACTGATCCCAGTGTGTGTGGCTGTGCCCCTGCCCTCCCCGGAGCTCACAGTCAGGGAACTATAGCGATGCCTTCACCACAAAATGTGACTTGCTGAGCTAGAAGTGTGGACACACGGAGCTTATGCCCCAGAGGATTGGGCGGGGAACTGCACTGGGCTTTTTTGGGATGATATTTGTGCTTGGAGTAGACGATAAAAGATGAGTCAGATGTAAGGGGTTCTAGGGGGGTAGCCTAAGCAAAGGCACAAAAACACCAAATGTTTTAGGGACAGTATGGGAACTTGAAGGGTGAGGGGTGCAGGAAGTCATGGCTTTGTACACCTGCAACAGAGCTCAGCAATCCCACGGTGACAGCTGCCAGCCAGAGATGTGACATGGTCAGACATGCCTTCTTATGACTATCTCTGGTGGCAGTGTTGATGAAGGCAACCTGGAAGAGGAGACCCAATCGGGACACTCCTTTCCTTGCCAGACCCCTCTCCAGAAACCACAGCCATGTCCTGCACGCCCCCCAGGATGTGCCTCCCTACTCTGCTGGGTCCAGGAAGCCTGAACTGTGGCATAGTCTGCGATGCCACTCCAGACCAAAGTAGCTGGAATCAGAAGGCCATGGCCAGAATTCAGGAAGATGGAGAGCTAGAATGTAGATCAGCAAATGTTTACTGCTTGAAGGATGTTTCTAGAACCTGTACTAGGTGTCAAGTTCTGTGCCAGTGCTTGGGTACAAAGAAGAATAATTTGGTCCCTACTCTTACTGAGCTCACAGCCTGGAGCAGGCAGACAGGCCAGCATGCAAGTACAGCAGTCTGATGTTGGCTACCTTAGGCTGTCCCCACGTCAGAGGCCGGGGGCAGTGTGGCTCCCTCTGCCGGCAGGTGTGGCCCTCAGAAGCACCATCATCACAGCCTGGTTTTGAAGGATGCTTAAGAATTGGAGAAGAGAAAAGGTAGATGGGAAACTAATTTCTT